CTAAGGACTTTTCCTCAGTAAACTAAGCAGGAGTATAAGTTGCAGAAGCCATCACTAGAAAACAGACCTTCCCCCAACCTATCAGAAGCTGGCTCTCTGCCCCCAGCCATGTTCAAAGGCCTTTGCTATAAATGTGTGGAGGAAGTAAGCTGTAACCGCACAAGAGCTAAAAACATTACACTGGTTTCTGTGTGTGGTTTTTGTAAATCAGTTTCAGTATGTCATGTTTCCACCTCAAATGTGTGATAACAAGGTCAGGATCACAACGTAGAAGGCATGAAAACCCCCTGATGTAGTCCTGCTTGGCACCTTTCCGTACAATTTGTTTTTCCTTTGAGCTGACAATGAATCATGTGCTGACACTGGTGTAGCCACTATGTGGCAGGCAGGAAACTCACCTCTGAAGTCAAATCAAGCAAGAATGTTGCTACTGTGGATTGGCGCCTGGCACTAAGACTCTGTAAACTGCATTGCATAGAATTAGAAAACCAGATGTCAAAAATGTACAGCTGCTGCCTTGTAGCACTAAGCTATACAACATGCTAACAGTGCTTAATATCTCTTGCAAAATATAATTATAGATATTAATATTCTGAGAGCTTTCGTGGAAATAATTCACGTAGACCTAAAATAGTAAAAAAAAAAAAAAAAAAAAAGGCTGCATATAAACCTGAATTTGCTGATCTACAAAGGAACAGGAAGAAAGCCAGGAGTTAGCAACCCTATTAGGATCAGAAACAGTCTGCCCCGACTCCAGCTTGCAACCATTGAAGCTTTACCATCAGAGATAGTTAACCTCCACCCTCCCCTCCCCAAAATTAGATCTGCAGTCTAATGGGCAAGGATTTACGCATCAATATTTCCACTCCTACCACACTGCAGAAGTGAACATCCACTCACAGCCACAACTGTGGAGGCTGGGAGTGTTCCTTTTTAAATTCATTTATTTTATCATTTGAATGTAGTTGAGTAATTTTCCAGAGACAAAGGACCTGGCATAGATTAGGTAACTCACTACATCAAGGGCCAAAAATTTCACATCTGCGAATGTTCCATCTTGACTTGCTTGCAAAAAAGACTGTAATATTTATGCACAAGGGAGCTTTGGAAACAAGCAAGATAGCAACCAGGAAAGCCTCTTTCCAGACCCCACTGCTTCAAAAAAACACCTTAGAAAAGGTCTTGGACCATAAGAATAGTTGATCAGGAGCACATTACCCCTCTAAATTATCCTTACAAATTTTTTTTTCAAATGCTTTTTAAAATAGCTAATTATAATCGTTAGGACAATATTTATAGCACATACATATTTTCCACAAGATTTTAACAAAATAGTTGATTAAATATCTTGTCACTAGTTCAGGCACTGTCTAGTTATATAGTAAATGGCTGTCACTGCAGTGCTTCACCCTAATTTGTTTTGAATCAGACACCCAGACAACAGGGACACCTACTGGGTTACCTTGTTATCAGATAAGGTGTCCCACAGGACTTCTTTCCATGTTCTTGATTTCTGAACAAAGAATTCAACAAGACACCCAGGAAACCAGAAAAGGCAGTAAAGGTGTACATTTATTGAAGAAAAAAAAAGAGGTATTCTCTACAGGATGAGAGTGGGCTGGTGAAAAGGTTTACAGGGGACAGAGGATAAAGGGAAAGGGGCCTTTATTATTCAAAATTCCTGGGTTGTCTTTCACATCACACAAATAAGATATTGGGACAGTTGTCCTGTCAGAAACTAAGTTGGCTTTATGAAAGATGTACACTGTCCTAAGGAAAAATGTATTTGGCTTCCTTCTAGATGTAAATGAAATATCAGGAATCATGTCTTTTGACTGGTTGTTTCCACACGCAAATGAAAAATTGGAAAGAGCACCAGTGATTGGTCATGCCAACAACACCAGATTCAAATGAGGCATTGAAAAGAGCAGTTTTCTGATTGGTCCACAGTGCTCAACCATAAGCCTGATGTCATTTTGGGTCTCATATTCTATGCATGTCCTTGTTAGAGAACATCTTATTCATCCTGTTAGCCATGAGTTTTATGACCTTTGATACATTCCACCCACTTAGTTTGTCCCACCCCTAATCTCCTACCTCAATCTGTAATCAACTAGCACTGATTCCAAAGGATTGGACTGGCCTTGTTTGGCATGTCACCTGCCTCCTGTCTATAGCAGTATAGACTGAGGGTGCCTATCCTACCCAGCCACTCACTGGGCCCTTCTAGAAAATGAAATATGAAAAACTTTTCCCATCACCAGCCCAACAATTTGTGAAATGGGTGCTGCCCAGGATCACGGCCCATGACCCACCATTCTCACTCAGGGCCATGGAATTGGGCCTCACAAATAAGAAACAGTGCCCTGATAGGTCCCCAGCCTTTATTGTACCTCTGCCAGAAGCCTGGCATCAACCCAGTCCCATTCTTTCTGATACTCCAGAGTACTACAGGACTTAATGTTTACCCTGCTGGATTTTGGACTTGCTTTAGTCCTTTGTATCCCCCTGCTCCTAACTTTTGGAATGAAAATGTTTATCTTGTGCCATTAAATGTTGGAAGTATTTAACTTTGTTTTCATGTGCAAATGAGTTTACGTTAAGAGTTTGCCTTAAATCTTAGAGGAGACTTTGGACTTGGATTTTTCAGCAATGCTGAAACTGTTAGGATTTTGGTAGTTCTGGCAAATGGATTAAATACCTTTTGCCTAAAGGGATGTGCATGAGTCTTTGGGGGACCAGGATGAGAATGTTATGGTTCTAATGTAATATCATGTTGGTAGATTTAATACTGGTTCTTAAAGATTGTTAAACCTATGTTATAATGTCCAAGTTGTAAAATGATATAAATAAACACGTCTTTATATCTAAAAACTGATTTTAAAAAAATCTGTCTGGTTGCCAAGTTGACAAGGGGTGGATTGTAATGGTTGATAGATTGTGTCAACTAGAGAAGTTTAAAAGTTTAATTCAGGGGCTGGGGATTTAGCTCAGCGGCAAAGCGCCTGCCTGGCAAGCGCAAGGTCGTGAGTTCGGTTCCCGGTACCGGAGAAAAACCAAAAAAAAAAAAAAACAGTTTAATTCAACAGGGAGCCAGGGTCTTTACTTTGTAAAACTCCTGAGCTTATGAGAGAGAAAGCCATAGAGATGGTGTGGGTTAAAGGATTCTCCACCTCCCCCCAGGGTGGAGAGCCTACATACAATATAAGGGAGATAAAGAGGCTTGCTTCTCCCCTCTTTTGCTCTTGTTGTTTTTGCTGTCTTTGGCTGCCTTGAACTGCTGCTCCTGTGCCATGCCATCCCACCCTGCCTTGGAGCCAGCTGATTATGGACTGAAACCTCCACAAACTGTGAGCTAAATAAACCTTTCCTATGTTAATTTTGGGCATTGGGTATTTTGTCTCAGGAAAAAAAAACTAAGACACTTGTTTAACTCCAGGTGATTCGGCCTCCTGACCAAAACCTCCTCACCTGGTACAAGTCTTTATCTAGGAATGGCACCTGCCCTGGGACCTGGCCTCCAGGCACTATGACCTCTAAGCCTTATTGCTTCTTTCAAGCCCTCTGAGTTTTCTGTAAAGAATTCTAAGGATGTGACTTCAACAAGTTTTTTATCCTTTGTTTCCTCAACTGTAAAATGAGAGAAACTACATGTTTTCAAAATGAAGATGTGATAAAAAGCAAAAAGAAACTTTGCCATTAACCTTGGGATGAAATGACCTCCACCACCTCTTCTTAACTGACAAAGAACAAGTCCCTAAATTCAGGGTATACCCAGAGAATGTCCTTAAATAAAAAGTGGCCCTTGGACTGGTTCATCTTTCTCACTCAGCTGGAGGTACTTAGCAGTTGGGCAATGTAACTTTCCTGCTCTGACCTGTAGATCCAGCAGGAGAGCTACAGAGCAGTAGAAAACATTTTCTTTCCCTGCCTCCAAGGAAAGGAAATGTAGCAAAGCACAGAGGGAAAGCTATTGACCTTGGAGACAGACCAGGCCGCCTGTCCTCCGGCCCCATAACAGCTCTGAGTTTCCTGTAAACCAGGATGACAGCACATACTCCCAGGACCCATAGAAACATTGGAGGTGGTGTTAGAAAGTGGTCTGAGTATTCTTAATAACAACTCTCCAAAAGCCATGAAGGATGTCTCGGTTAGCATGAATGGTCAATGTGTTTTTCCTCAATCAGCAATTTTACTACTAGGTCATCATTTTGGAAAAAGATAAATCAAACCTCCTTCCTTTAATATTTATTACCTTATTTGGCTTTTTTAGGAACTGAAATTTGCATTCAATGTAAGTGAAAGGGAAAAATTTTGACAGTTTAAATCTGTCAGAATCTCAGTTCACCCCAGGTTCCTGTTGTTTCTTTAATCAGAAGTCATTTTAAAACAAAAGTTGAAAAGATTTTACTCTAGAAAATAAAACAAAGTGAGAAGCTAATGATAAAAATATGATCTGGGTTCCTAATTTCAGGCCAGAGTTGACCTTCAAAACTTCACTGGAAGATGGTAAGGTTATAAGGTCCTCAGGTGGCACTTTGGGGATACTGTGGCATGTAACACCACAGTGAGGGCTCTTGGGGTTCTTCTAGGGCTGCATCTGCTGCCTCACAGGCTGGCAGGTAGTAGGGGGACCAACTCATACTTGTTTGTCCATACTGTCCTGGTTTTAAAGCTGAAAGCCCCAGATTCAAGTAATTCCTCTGGTCCAAGCAACTTAGGACAGCTTGTCAACCTTCTCATGTCCCCTAACTTTTCAGCTCATTCTACAGTCCAGCCTGCCTAATCTACTCCACAGACTTTTTCTTAAATTTTTTTTCTTACCTGTTCAACAAAAGACAAAAAAATACAGCAGGAAAAAAGTGTTTAAACAATTACTTTGCACAGCCATGGCCTGGGGCAGAAGGCAGTGGGCCTGACTCTTTTTCAAAAGGAGTAAGCACTAACTATCACAGGTGACTGTGTTGAATCTTTAAAGAAGATTCATTGGCACCACTTACCCACACTTCACTTCCTCTTCATGCCCTTTCTTCTGTGGTGTGTGGAGCAGAGGAGGAAAGCTTGTTTCCTCTTTCCAACCAGAGGAAATGTATTTGCAAGAAAAATGAACCTTAACAGCAAATTCCTCTTGCTTGATACTTTTCTTAAAGTGTACTTTGCTGGGGAGGAGTCGTTCATTTTGGTGATCAAAATAATTTATCTATGTTGTCAAACCTAGAAACATAGAAAAGAAATTTTTTTTAAAAAACACACATAATCAGAGAAGATTCCTTTTTAAAATACACCTGATATCAACACAAGCAGTGGACATTTCAGTGAGTCAGATGAGTCACACTGTAATTCTGTAGAGCTGCAGCAGCCAAGAACCTTCTATGGGCCTTTCATGTAGCAAACACAGCAGCAAACACATTTCTTTTGTTGCTAAACAACAGCAACTCTCCTCCTGTATGGTTCTGAATTCACAAGAGAGCCATGAATTCATCCATCCATCCACAAATATTTTCAGATTTCTAATATGATGTAGGCACCCCAGGAAGAAGGCTGGATCAGGCACTATCTTCTTGGCCAGGAAGTACCTAAGCAAGAATAAGGAGTTGTACCAACCCAATGGGAAGAAATAAGGCCTGGTCAAGAGTGTTGACCTTGGAGAACCAGGGAATTAGCCTCATCTGGGAGGCTGGGAAACCTTCCTGCAGACACTGTACTTATGCCAAGACATGAAGGCTTAATACAAATTGGCCAGGTAAAACAGAGAAAAAAAGATGATTAGGAAGAAGTAACAGCCTGTGAGAAGACACCCAGATTGCAGAACACCTATCCTTGAGGGGTAATGTGCAATAAGGCCAGGGTAGATACACTCAAGGGCAGAGGAGAGGGTGGTAGGAACTGAGGATGCTGGGGAAGGAAGCAAGACAGAAATGGTCAGGTTTTAACTTTCCTGGTCAAGTTGGGCCTTCTGTCAAGGAGCGAGTAGAATCCTACCAAGGCTCTTCAACAGTGGCAGGACAGGCTCTCTGCTGAGCTGAGCAAGCTGAGGAGCACATAGACAAAGGAAAGTTCCTAGAAGTAACATCCTGAAAGGCAAGGAAGAGATGACATGTTCCACAGGGGTCCGGGCTATAGACGCCATAGAACTTGGTGATAGACTACATGTGGACCTGGAACCCCAATGCCAGCTTGTAAAAGGAGAGTGCTCAGGTTCTGAAAGCAGCAAGGCCAGCCCCCAGTGCGGGCCAGCTTAGTGACAGGTGAACTGAGCTGTTGGCACAGCTGAGCCCCATACTTGGCTTAATGCTCTGTGTCACCGTCTTGAAATGCTTCAGGATTTTGAACCAGCCCTGTGTTCTCACTCTGCACTAGGCAAATGAAGTACATGGCCATGCCCAGGAAATTCTGATGTATGCAGAATCACTTGTTAGTGGTACATGAACTCCATCCAAGGCCTTCAGATTGTGTATTCACTCTACCAAGCAGCACAGGAGCACAGAGGTGGCTCAAGGCCCCCAGCTCAGTGTAGCTGCTGCCTGTGGATGTCAAGATTGGCCTGTAGGTAGAGTTTACATGAGCAAGGTGACACAGGAGACTTACAGTACACTAGTTCTACAGACACTGAGGGATATTTGAATAACATGAGCTTAGTGGTCCCTACTTGACTAAAACAGGAATTTCCCTCACCCAAGTTTCATTTAGTTTAATAAGTCAAGCTAAACATTTCTATAAGTTCAAGTCAAGTGGTTCTACCACATGGTAGAAAAAGACTTCTTAAAAATGAGTGTTTTATTATTTTATTTGGTTAAGAATGTCATAGCATGCCTAAGTCTGATACAACACAAAATTTGCATTTAAAAGAAAATTAGTATAGGAAGGATTTAAAAGAAATTTTGTGAATACAGCTGTGCTTATATATTTCAAAGAAAAAAGTTAGAGCTTTATCAAAACTTAAAATATAACACAAAAGCTGATTATTCAAGGAACTGTCTATAAGGTTTTGTATAAAATTGCTATACAAAATTTCCTAAGCCTGTACTCTATCATGGACCACATAATAATTGTTATTTTTATCGTTATATTAAAAATATGTTAAGAATAACAAGTATAGATCATCACTAGAATGGTCATTTCTTTGGTGGTTTTATATTTACTTACAGCAGCAACTAATTATGAGAAGAATGGGAATTTGTTAAGCCCTTTCAAACATTTATAAGGCTATGTCTTCTGAAGTCTAATAGCATATAGGGAAGAGTTTTGAAGTCATACGGGTTTAAATTCGAACCTCAGCTGTCCTTGGACAAGTTGTTTAACCTGACAGAATCTGATGTAGTCACTTGTATTTTTTTAAAAACTGTATAGCTACTAAAGAACAATTAAATGCACAATTGCATAGGTAACTCTTCATGAATCTCCTCAGAAATAAGCCTTTATCCCTTAAGTTAGAAACTCAGTGCTTGGTCAAACCCAACAAGTCAGCTACTGCATCCTGCATATGACACAGAAATGAATGAATTGGCTCTGCTCCTCTGAAGAGGTAAAGAGGAACTGAGGTAGAGAGGACTGGAGTGGAGAAAAGGGTCTGTGAGATGTTGTCACCGAGGGGCCCCTGGGAGAGGCAGCAAGGATATATCCTGAGATACAGGATGCTTGGTGAGCTTTTAAGAACCAACATATGTTTGCATTTTTTTGATGCAAGCCAATATGACCTTGAGTTTATCCCATAGATAAAGGGATAATATTTGTGGTATTGTATACATTCCTAGGGCTGCAGGAAAAAAGCATCAAGAGCTGAGCAGCTTAACACAACAGAAATCTATTCTCTCATAGTTCAGGAGGCCAAACATTTGAAATTGGGAAACCAGCAGAGTTGGCTACTTTGGGGGCTCTGAGGGTGATTCTATCTCCTGCCTCTCTCCTGGCTTCTGGGTTTATGTTCATTTTGGATGCTTTCTGGCATCTAGCTCTGCTTCTAGAAGCCAATCTTTGCCCTATTGTCACCTGGTATTCTCCTGATGCATATGTCCCTCTCACTCTGAGTCTTTACTTAACAGTCTTCCATGTCTAAATTTCCCTTTTCTTATAAGGACACCAGTCACCTCATCTTAATTAATTATATCTTCAAAGACACCCCCCCCCATGCAAATCGGTTTACATTACCGATACTGAGCATTAGGACTTGAGTATCTTTTTTTAGGGCACGGGGGATATAATTCAACCCACAACAGATGTAGTAGACAAAGTGCAATTGGAGATGACCAGCCAAGCTGGTCCAGGCTTATCTGGTGCCCTTAGGGAATGGAAAGATCGGTACTTATATCTATAACTTCTTAGCACACAGTTTCGCAAGCTCTGGTACATAAATTCTCCTCCATTCTACTTTCTGCCTCTCTCCCCAGCTCTGGTAAAGTTTATATTAAAAAACACACACAACACACAGGTTGTGGGCCGATTAAAGGCACCATATCCTTCAAGCATCCTCAGGTACAGGCAGATCCTGCCTGGGACTCACCTGTCCAAGTCAAGCATCAGATATATCTATGAAGGACATTAAAGGTGGCCAAGCCTGACATCAAACAGCAGAGGCTAATTCTTCTTATCTGACCCCAAGTTCAAGCAACCATCTGAGAACAACTTCTCTTGCCACATGGGGAGATGAGAGAGCACATGTTGACTGGAGAGTCCTCATGTCCAGCACTATGGTTCTACTCTAAAGCAATAAATTGGATTTCTGGCAGCAACCAGTCAATTGTATGAGCCAGATTAGAGAAGAATCTGACCTGCAAGGTTGGTGCACCCTCTCAGTTCACTGGCACTGATTCCCCAGCCTCTAAGGTCAGGAGCTGGGCTCTACCCTTGTTGATCCCACCTAGTAAGGTTGCATGGGATGCCCAGGTCTGTCCTCACCTGGCTGGCACCCACCTTCTTAACCTCTGCTTTAGTCCATCTTCTGTTGATATCACTGAATACTTGAGACCAGGAAAAAGGAAATCCTTTTGCCCATGGTTCTGGAAATGGGGCGTACATTGTATGGATGGACATCACTGTTGGTTCTGAAGGAGAGTAGCCAATGAGGCTGTGCAGATAGGTCAGATGTCTAGTGGTAGACATCACTGCAGGAGATGCTGGAATAAGGGAGCCTCTGAAGATGAATTAGTGGGGCAGTCCTGATTCTAGATGTCAGTCATGACCCAGAGGGTTGGAAAACATGTGAAGGAAAAAAGTGTTACACAAACTGCAGATTGGGTACTGTACTATGTTAGTCAGCTTTCCTTTACTGTAAAAAAGACCTGAGATAATCAAAGAGAAAGGTTTATTTGGTTCATAGTTTAGAGATCTCAGTCCATGGTAGGTTGGCCCCATTGTTTTTGGGCCTATGGTGAAGCAGCACATCATGGTGGGAGCATGTGACAAAATGAACTGTTCAGTTCATGACTGAAATGTGAAATAGATAGAGGAAGAAATTGGATTATTACAATATCCTTAAGAGCACACCCCCAATGACATAAGGCATCCCACTAGGCTCCACCTCTTAAAGGTTCCATCACCTCTCAGTAGTACCACCCTGGGGAACAGCCTTTAACACACGGACCTCTGGGGGACAGTTCAGATCCAAACAATAGCAGGAACTATAATCTCCTCAATCTTTCAACAAGGATAATGGAGAGAGCCAAGATGTATCCTGGTTCCAATCCAAGCCCTAAGTACTCTTACCCTCTCTGTGGCTCAGTTTCTTCATCTCTCAAAGGAAGAGAATAAAGCCTATTTGAGCCTTCTTATCATATTCTTGGGAAAACACCAGGATAGTGCTTTAGGTGATGTTATTACAAGCCCAGGAACATTGACAGGACTCTATTGTGTCTCTGCATGTCTTTTACACTGTGATGGATTTAGAATACAAAAAGATAAAATAGAAAAAAGTAATGTAAATGATATCTTAAAAGACAAATGATTTAATGAGATTTGGGTGTTCTAGGCTTCTCCCATGTAGGGATCAAAGTGTCTGTGCAGATGTGGTGCATGTGTTCAAGTCCCTCAGGGCCTGAGTTTGACCTTCGCCTCCACCACAGACCAGCAATATAGATCTCAGTGAGTCTCCTGAGCTCTTTGAACTTAAACTTTCCCATCAGTACAAGAGGTACAATCAGTACCCAGAGATTTCTTGGGAAGATTAAATGTGATCAAACATGTAAAGGACCTGATATAAGAGATATTCGTTTAAGATCTATTATTATTTCAGAATGAAACATTCTTACTGCTCTGATTACCTTCTTTTTCCAGACTCTGACCAGATACTTCAACTTTGCTTGTTTAGGAAAAAAGGAAGAGTAAGGAAGCTATTCTCTTTTTTGAGGGACAAAAAAAACCCTGTCTTCTATAGATTCCTTTGTGAATGTTTTTGTTCTGGTCTGTGTCATATCCCAGTGGTGGAGCTGTTAAGAATGTGAAGCTTTTGAAAGTATCACAGCATCTTCTTTATTCCTCTTCTGCTTTTTTTAAAAAAAGTATTAGTACATGTATGCAGTATGTAATCATCACCTTCATCATGGGGAGTTGGTACATGTACATAAGACATCATAATTCTTTTTTTTCCCCCTTCTTTCCCTCCTCCCCCTCACATTTTCCTTCCCATTTAAACATTTTCTTCCTATATCCCAATAACTATCATCTATTTTGGTCCTTATTTGTGTTTTTGATTTCTTATACAACAGGAACAATCTGCTTTTTATTTGTACTTTAATGTCCCTAGGGCCACCCCAAAGGCCACCCAGCCTTTAGACTACTAGCAGCATGGCTCTAAGGCCTAGTCTGATGCTTGCTGCCTGTCCTTTCCTGACTTGCCAAGTGGCCAATGAGTCAGCCTCCTGCTCATTCTCACAGAGAATAAAAGCAGTGAAAATATTTATCAACCTCAACATGATGCTGTGGCAGTTAATGAATGAATAATTAGAGAGTACAGAAAGCTCCTCATAAACCTATCTATTATTTTTATAGGAGCTCTCAAAAGGAAGATCTTTATGAGCATCCTCAGGTGACTCAGAGTGGCTTGTGAACTTGGCCTCTGGCTGAGTTTGCCTCCATCCTGAGACAGAGTCATGAACATCTCAATCAGAGGCTCATGTCCCTACAATGTAGCTTGCCAGGGCCAGAATTCTGTCCTCTTTGGCAGTGCCAAATGGAGACGAGAAAGTTTCCAGTTTAATTAGCCAACACCACCAGTTAAATTTGAATTTTGGATAAATGATAAAAAATTATACATCACTATCTGAAATTCAAATTTAACTGAATATCTTATTCTTATTTCTTTCTTTTCTAAATGCAGCAATCCTAGAGATCCTTAGCATTGTATAGTACCCTCTCAGGAATGTGAAGCATGATTAACTTCTGCCTTTGAGAACACAGTAATTAACAGTGATAATTTCAACATGTGGCATGCAGTATAGCTCCCAAAATATGTAGCACTCCCTATGACACAGATTTCTTTCAATGGGGCTGCTTACCTATCTTCACCTTCTATAGTTGTAACCCTTCTTGTCAGATTATGTCAAACCTGCAGGTCTATATATGGCAAAATACAGTGTTTAGTTCTAGGACTTAGTGATGAGAAAATATTTGAGAAGAATTGAACCTCATACCCTGTTACAGACTCTATGGTTGATCTTATACTATTTATGTTTTTCAAGCTCAAAAAACACTCAACTAATTTTCTATAGTTTGACACATCCATATGGGCTGCTGGTCAAGAAAGGAGGATAGAGAGCAGGCAGTGTGTCACTGCCAGCACCTTCTTAGTAGTCAGGCTGGGATCAGCCTCTGTTGGCCACCAGGTCCCATCTCTGCTAGGACACTGATGGAGACCACTATGAAGCATCTCTAAACAGGACTTAAATTAGCCAATTGACTTTCCATATTTACTTGTGAGTCTGTCCAAGGCCTAGGCTCCTTGTCTGGAGATGGGTGGTGGACTCATAGTTCGTGAACCTCTGTGAGTCACTAATCCCTACTAAGGTCTGTAATGGCAGATGAAGCTGGAAAGCCTCAAAGGATAAGACAAGATCAGAGCCAAGGACACCTGGATCCAACCTCAACTAGATAAAGACTATAGCCTCAGCCACTCAGAATAATCTTTCTTAGCAAGTACCTATAAAATATTCACCAAACTGGATGGCATGTGTGTCTTAATACATTCTGAAAGATCAAACTTTTGAAGTCCAGAAGTGAAATAAATTAGAAATCTGTAACAATATTTAGAAAAACCTCAAATATAAATTTCCACACATTGTAAATATCTCTTGAGTCAACAAAGAAATCAAAAGATAAGTCAGAAAATATTTAAGCCAAAAGCTAAGGAAAATGTGGCATATCAAATCTATAGGTCACCTAGAGGAAGTCTTACAATTTTGAATGTTTGCATTAGAAAGAAAGGCATAAAATCAATTCTCCAAGTATCAAGTTTTCACCTTAAGAAGCCAGAAAAAGATGGGCAAGACAAACTCAGAGTAAGCAGGAAAATAAATAATAAAAATCAGGGCAGAATTCAGTGCAACAAAAATAGATAAATTTTAAAAAGCCAACAACTGATTCTTTAAAAAGTTAATCACAGTGATAAAACCCTAATAAGACTGAGGAAAAAAGTTAATTTTTCAATATTAGAAATTTTAAAAATGGATACCATTTTAGACTCTGTAGTTCCTAAAGTGAATATGATTAGTAACATCATGACAATGAACCGAACAACTCAGATTAAATTGACAGATTCTTGAAATGCAACTTTAAACTTATAAAAGCATATACATATGAAATGCAAAATCTGAACAGTCCTATATCTACCAAAGTATTTGAATTCATACTCTCAAACTCTACCACATGGTTTCTCTGGTGAATTAGGTATCTAAGGAAGAAATATCATACTAAACATTTAAGGAACATATTAGGCACTTAAGGAACATATTAAACATTTGAGAAAGAAACAATACCCACCCCATGCAAACTCCTATAAAACAGAAAAGGAAAATACATTTCCCAGTTCATATTATGCAGCCAACATAACCCAGATACCAAAACCTGTCATAAACATTATAAAAAAGAAAAATTATAGACCAATCTCCTTTATATATTCTTAAATTCCAAATTCTTTAGCATAATTGAATGATATATTCCCTACAAATCCTAGCATAGTGCTGGATAGAGGCAGTGATCAATAAGTCCTATAACTGAACCCTTGATTATAACATTACAAAGTTATAAAACAGATAAGCCAGTTCCAACTCCAGTGATCAGTGTTAATATTATTCAATGCTTGGTATGCAACAGGTTGCTCAGCACCAAAAGTAGATTATCTGTCTTTATAGAAACCCTAAAAATATCATCATAATTCTTACTCTGTAGATGAAAAAATCAATGGTTAACAAGTTTGCACAACTTGTCCAAAGTTATACTGTTAGTAAGGATATAGAGAAGACACTAGAGATAAATCAGGAGCTCTCAATTTGTGGGTTGAGAGACACCAGGATATTGTCAATAAGGTTCCAAAGATCTGGAAAACTATATGATGTATGGAATTACTTTTTTCAAGGGAAAGGTTTGAGGTTCTCTTAGAATCCCTGGAAGATGTAAATTCATTGGCTGGCTAAGTGATCAGGGAATCATGGCCTGGCTAACACATCAACCATGAACTACATCTGGACTGGCTTGTCTGGGAAGCTCCCATGTTTCATGTTTCTCATTCAAAATCCCTCATACACAGTATGCAGTTCTGAAAATTGGTAATTTTATATATAACGCAGAAAAATCAAAATTCTGAAAAGATGCTTTACAGTTAGTTTTCCAAGGGTTTCTAGGTGAAAATATTTTATACCAAAATCGAATAAAGATCAGTTTGATATGAAATCTAGGTTTAAATAATTCTTTACTAAATATTACTACACAAATCTTTATAGTAATGCTTACAATATTCAAATATGCTTTGTTTTCCTGGAAAAGCCCATTTTTCTATAATTTAAGTTATATTTCAAATGCTTTAAGTAAGGTGACGTAGACTATAGAATTGCAATCAGAAATCTTGGGTTCAATCCTACCTTGCCCACTTAAGAGCTGTGTCATTATGGAGAAATTACTTAATTCTCTGGGCTTCAATTTCCTCATCTTCAAGATGGGGATATAGACATTCACCTATAAGGCAGTTGTAAAGAATAAACAAAATAATTATGAAAAAGGCCTAATAATGTGCCTAGTACAAAAAAAGGCACAACCAAAAGAAATTTTTTCTTTATCATTTAGAGAATTCTATTATCAACTATTTTCTAAAATTAATTATCATTATTAATTTATCTTTTATATAGATTTACATTTTTCCACATCAGGTTGAGTACATTGTATCACAGGGGTTTTTCTAAATATTATAGACTCGGGGGGCCACCTGGCCTCTGTTAAAACTGCTCACTTTTGCGGTAATAGGGCAAGTGCAGCCATCTACAACCTATAAATGAATGAGTGTGGCTCTGTTCCAATATACAAAATAGGCATTAGGCTGGATCTGGACCTCAGCCATGCATACCAACCTGGGTTACAGGTGGTAAGACTGCATGTGCTCTGAATCACTGCCTGATTCAAGTTCTCACTCTGCCACTTACTAGCTATGTGACTGACCTTGAGCAAGTTATATGGCATCCCTTTGGCTCAGTTTCCTCACCCATAAAATGAGGATTTAAAATGGTCCTACAAAGTGTTGTTTTCTTGAGTTACCAAACCTAAAATTCTTAAAACAGACTAGAACAGAGGAAGCACTCAAACAATGTCAGTAGTTATTTTAACTTGAAGCAGGCAACAGCTCTCCCATCATTTAGGATTAGGTCTGAGCAACAGAAAATAGACTTGAGATGTGTGGCTTATCTGGCCCTTACATTAGTTATGTCAGAGTGGCCCGGCAGCTCCACTGTTGGCAGGCACACAGCCTCCCTCTATCTTGTTGCTTTGCTATCCTCAATACAGACAGCAGAGCTAGCTATCTTTTTTTTTTTTTTTTGAGACAGTAGTAAATGAGACACAAACAAACAAAAAATAGAGCAATAGCAGCATACCAGCTCACAAATATAAACAAACCAGAGCAAGAACATTTAAACTGATATAGCATTTCAAGACAAAATAATACGAATGAACAGTGGTTGTTTTATTACATATCACTATCCTCAACTACATTGCTCAGATTACCAGATGTAAGAATGGAAGATTGTTTGAAACATTAAAGAGAATAAGAAAATAATTATTAGATAATTACAGATAATTATTAGACATTAAATAGATAATTCTTAATAGATAATTATTAGACATTACAGATAATACAGAGTTTCACTAGACAAGATGGTAGGAATTCACCATGGTAATTCCATTGCATATTGTTACCTTCAAATCAGCTGCCCAGATTACTAGATCAAGCATGCAAAATTGATCAGAACATGAAAAATTTTAAGCATTAACTATTCCTTTCAATATATATCAGACATCAGCAATACAGTTATCACAGCTATTCTTATATATATTTATATTTTGCCTTCCTTCTTTCTTTTTTCTTCTTTCCCTCATCCCAGTCTTTCCCTTCTTTGAGCAATTTCTTTTTCTTTTCTATCATCTATTGTGCAGTTTGAGTTTTACTTATTCTTTCAGGTTCCTACACCAAGGAGATACACATGTGGGTCCGATTTATTTCACTTATGAGTATGGTCTCTAGTTGCATCCATTTACCTACAAAAGCCTTGAGTTTATCTTTAGCAGAGCTATCTTGTGGGTGTGTTGATGCTTGGTAGCAGCCAACACACCCACACCCAATCCACAGTCCCACCAGACAGGAGGAAGAGCTGACTGTCCCTGTAGGGGTACCGCCCTACCCATGCCAGTAATTCTCATTGGCCAAAATTGGGTCACATGGCTACACAAATCTACACAAAGCCCGTACAGTGTATGCTGGGAAATGTAGGCTTCATTCTGGGTTTCCTCTAGCTACTCAGACAGAAAAGCAGATTTGGGGGAAAACCAGCAAATTGTGCCACAACCCTGCTTTTCAACATCAGGTTTAGTAGAACCAAAATAACGAGCATAGAAGTGACTGATAGAGGAGGGAGAATTGAAACAGGAAGGGCTCTCCAAAGAAGGAAAACGAAGAGTAAGTCATCTCCGGTATGGTAGTTTTCACTTGTGGCCTGTTTGTTGTGAAGTCACCAAGGGCACAGAAATCATGTTCAGCTGCCCTTATTTTCTGTCGCTGTTTACAAAGGAATATGAAACACTGGCATTCGCTTTCCGCACCTACCATCCTCCTCTGTAGTCTCAGCCTAAGTGATGAAGCCATGGGTAAAGAGAGGTAAGCCCCTCCCCAAGGATCTCTGGCTCTGCTTTCGAGCTCTTCTGATGGTATGACTGGGGAGTGTCTGCAAAGACACCTTCACTAGCCAATTGTCCCCTGTGTCCCAGAGCTTTGCCTCCATCCCACTTCCCACTCACTCCTTCAGCACCAGTTCATGAGTGGTGGGTGCCAGGTGGTGACTCTTCCCCTTTCTGGATTTCTTCTTTCCCTCAGGAGCGCAACAGCTTGCAAAGTTATGATGAACATCTGGGTACACTACAATCTCGTACACTAGCTCCCAACTCCTTAATAACCATTGTTGGAACCCTTTGGGAAATCATAGCAGGTAAACAGATTTCACCTGAGTTACTTCCATGCATTTAAGGGCTTTTTCAAAGATTATGTTTGCTGTTTCCATTTGTTTTGTTTATACACAGGCTATCAGGAAGTTTTTTGATAAATATGTATAGTATTCCCACAGTTCTAATATATCCCAGAGTACTTAGCTGTTATCTATAATTTTTTAACCTCCCTAGCCATGCACACAGGTTAAATTAATTCAATGAGCCTAAATTCCTGATATGTAGAATACATAAAGAACTCAAAAAATTATACCCTTCCCCCGGGGCTGGGGATTTAGCTCAGCGGCAAAAGCGCCTGCCTGGCAAGCGCAAGGTCGTGAGTTCGGCTCCCGGTACTGGAGAAAAACCAAAAAAAATAAAAAATAAAATAAACCCTTCCCCCAAAATAAAAGACCCAATCAAAAAATGGGCAAATGAACTGAATAGATGCTTCTCTTACTTTTTTTTCCTGGTACCAGGAATCGAACTCATGACCTTGCACTTGCCAGGCAGCTGCTGCACTGCGGAGCTAAATCCCCAGCCCCTAGATGCTTCTCAAAAGCACAACTAGCCAACAAATTTATGAAAAAATGTTCATCTCTGGCCATTAAAGAAATACAAATTAAAACAACATTAAGATTTCACCTTACTCCAGAAAGAATGGCCATCTTCAAGAAAGCAAATAATAAATGCTGGGGAGAGTGCCAGAAGGGGAGAAGGAACCCTTCTACATTGTTGGTGGGAATGTAAACTAGTATAACCACGATGGAAATCAGTATGGAAATTTGTCAAAAGACTAAAACTACAAATTCTATTCGACCCAGCTACTCCCCTTCTGGTTTTTTTTTTGTTGTTGTTGTTGTTTGTTTGTTTGTTTGTTTGTTTTGGGGGGTTTTTTTGGTTTTTCTCCGGTACCGGGAACCAAACTCACGACCTTGTGCTTGCCAGGCAGGTGCTTTGCCGCTGAGCTAAGTCCCCAGCCCCTCCCCTTCTGGACATCTTTCCCAAAGAGCTAAAAATATCATATTACAGAGATACGTGCATACCAATGTTTATAGAAGCACAACTCACAATAGCTAAATCTTAGAAGCAACTTAAATGTCCATCAACAGACAAATGAGTAAAGAAACTGTGATATCCATACATAATGGCATACAGCTCGGTTATAAAGATAAACTTGAGGCATTCGTAGGGAAATGTAGAGACCTTGAAAACATAATGTTAAGTGAAATAAATCAGACACACAAACTGAAATACTGTATGGTTTCTCTCATGTGTATAATCCAAAGTATAAATAAAGAGCAAAATAAAAGATTCATAAAAAAGTAAACAGGGAAATAGATATTTTGCAAATGGGAAGGGTCCCAAGGGGGATAGAGGGGAAAGGGACATAAAAGATTTAAGATGTGTCATTCACGTGTACCAACTACCCCAATGAATGTAACCTTTATATGTTCCAAATTTGAACTAAAATAATGATTATGAAAATGGGGAAAAGGGATCTAGAGATGAAGAGAGGGAAATGGGTAGGGAGGGGAACAGGAATAAAAAGAATCAATATATATTCAGTAGATGTACCCACTCCCTAAAATGAATGTGAACATCACGTCCTCCAAACGTGTACTAATAAAGCACGACCTAATAAAAAAGATAATCTATCGCTATTATTTGCTCATTCAGAAGACATTTTGCAGCCTTAATACATACAATGGAAATGATTTTTAAATAGTGCAGCAAAAAATGAATTTAGTCTCTTTTTCTGAGTGCCACGTGGTCCCCTCTTTGACTATGCAGTCTCCTGTTTGCGTTGGCTGAGAAGGAATGCCTGAAATAACCACTACTCTCTAGAATCCAGGACAATGCCTGATTTTTAGGAATTTTTAAATAAATACATCTTGAAATAAGTGAGAATCATGATTCAGCTAGTGTGTGTTTTGTAAAGGTGTGTCTTCATCCTCAACAAATACTTCTGCGCCCTTGGCAATGCACCACCTTTCTTCTTGGCACAAACTGCAGGTGTCACAGAAGAAACAGGGTTGGTGACAAGTTAGTCCAGAGCAACTGGAAATCAGCTCACTTCTGTGAGATACTTGAGGTTTCCTGCAGGACCAGGTTCTCCATTGCATGGAGTATTGATGGTTTTCCTCTTACTGGTTTCCCAGCTGGGAATAAATACAACATCAAGGTACTAATTACTAAAAGTTCCAGTCAGCATAAAGAATGTTTATTGGTATGATTGTGAGGGAATCATTTGAAACAAAGTTTATAGAAAATAATCCAGTAGAAATCTAAACCCACTGAAAACACTTGAACCCTAGAACATTTAGTTGAGGTTGCTTGGAAATACAAGAATAATAAAATTCCTTCATATCATTGTGTTTGTTTTTAAGAGTTCTTCAGGACACAGTATTTTGGGATTCAGTGGTTTTCTTTTTTTTCTATTTTTACCATGTTTTTAAAATTTTAAAATTTTTCATAGGCAGAAAGTATAT